TTCTAAATGACTTACTCTATCGCATCTCAAAATATTTGCATCGACCTACCAAACACCCTGTATAAATTAAGTACTAAATTGACATTTGTCATAGATAGGTATGTATGTTCATTAGGTCTAGAGAGAGGAAATGGGTACATTCAGGCGGTGCCAGTGGCTAAGTTCAGCCACTCAGCATGGACTTTATTATCGAAACAGGGAAGCAGCGTTTTCATGAGAACGAAGGTTTTATGTTCATCGTCCGTATCCATATTTCCTAAACACTGACAATGACAGAGCAATCGTTCTCATGAGAACGCTGTTCCTCGGTTTCAAGAATAAAGTCCCTGCTGAGTGGCTGAGCTTAGCCGCTGGGAACGCCTGAATGTACCCAATGAGAATAAACAGGTGAATCCGCGCAGAATTTTGAAAATAGTAGTTAAATTATCGTTTAAAAAACTTATTAGGGTATCTAAAACTTTATAAAATTCCTTTTTTTAGAACGTGTTTAAGTCAATTTTAGAAGTATTAACACTGCCGTTTTCTCTTACCAACTGGCGTGTGGATTAGAAACCAACTAGATATTTTTTTACCAACTGGAGTGGACATTGGGGGTCTTACCAACTGGCGTGAGGATTGGAAACCAACTAGACATTTTTTTACCAACTGGAGTGGTCATTGGGGGGGGGGGGCGTCGCCCCCTGCCCCCCCCCATGGGTCCGCCCCTGCTCGTAATAATCAATTTTGGATTTATTTATAATCCAGGCAAATTCTGAATATGAAGCTATATTTTAAAAATGATTTACTGTAAATGGTTATCACTATATGGTGACCTACTGAATTAATCATTATTCAATTTTGCAGAAACCATATGTAGAGTAACAAAAACCTTATTTTTTTTCCCAGTGCAAGGTTTCTGTCACACACCCAAGAGCCGTGATATTGGTGTCAGAAGTGAGACATAATTTGAGGACTGCAAAGTGAAATGGTGTGCCACTAGAGTTGCATTCAGATCAGGGACGAAACTTCGAATCACGAATCAACAGGGGAAAATCCAGCTAGAATCGTTTTTGGAAAGAAACTCAGGTTACCTTGTGATCTAATATTTGGAATACCTGAAGATGAACGAAAAGAAATTCGAGGCTATGCCGACGAAGTAAGGGCACGACTTCTGGGGATCCATGATTTTGCTCGGTAGCATATTCAGCTGGCCAGTCAACGAATGAAGACCAGATACGACTTGAAAGTCAATTCAGCCGGATTTCAAGAACGTGATTTAGTGTGGTGTAGTGTATAATATAATCCAACAAGAAAGAAAGGAGTGTCGCCGAAATTGTGTTCAATAATCAAGAGGATTAATGATTTGGTTTATCGAGTTCAGCGCAACACCACGAGTATGTTGTACATCTAGACAGATTGACGAAATATCATGGGCGTGAAGTTGATCGGGACGATCAACCTTAAAAGGAGGGCAGTGTTACGGATTACGATGCGCGTTCGCCACGGTATCCAGAATACATGCCAAAATTCCAGAAAAAGTATGTTTATTCGGGCATGGGATTATCGCGTTTATTTGGATTTTACATGAATAGATTTACGGATATACAAAAGCCGGTATTAGTTAGTAGTTTTTGAGTTTAAGTTTAACTGTTATACGATTAAGATATTGTTAAGAGTTGTAAAGAGTTAAGTTGTTCGAGTTATTGTTCATCGATTTTTAACTGATACTTGCGGTATGAGGAGCGAGGGGGTGTTTCATATGGCAAAAACAGGTGTGACGTCAGGTAACCATTGGCGTTCTAATGTAAGGGAGCCACCAGCTCACATTCCGTCCGAGTTTCAGATTAAAATCGACGAACAATAATTAGTGAAGTAATTAGTGTCAGGATGTATAGTTACGTGGAATAAATTATTGCTGTGTTAATTGGAGTTTGATTTTGGAATAAACGAAGCCAAGATTTCTGTCACGCACCCAAAAGCCGTGACAAAATAAATAATAATGCTATTAAATTAACAACTCCTTTGAACAGGAATAAAAATCCCATTTTTCCAAAAAGGCAAATCCACACCAACTTGTTGTAGTTTGAGCAAGCTCTGTTTGATGCATCATTGGAGGGGGGGGGGATATCAGGTGGACGTGATATATACCGACTTCTCCAAGGCGTTTGACACAGTCGACCATAACATTCTGGAAATAAAGCTGGAAAGTATGGGGTTTCATGGATCATTTTTGAGGTGGGTGATTGATCATCTTTCGGGAAGAAAACAGAGAGTGAGGATAGAAAACTCAGTCTCATCAGAGATTAACATCACTTATGGTGGCCATCTGCCCCCTCTCTTTCTCAATCTTTTCTTGAATGACGTTAAGAAAGTATTTAAGGCCGCAACAACGATGAGAATGCAGTGCTCTGATTGGTTCATTTTTCGAAACTTGTTTTAGGGTCTTTAAAAAAACGGCACATCCGAATTGGCTCAACTTTGGCATTTGATCGATTATCTACAATTTCTTATTTTAGTTTTTCGATATTCTGCCTTTTTTTTTTTAACCAAAAATCATGTTCGCAACCACCAAAACAGCTAAATGTGTTGGTGGTTGCATATTTGCATGTTTATCAAGCTTGGATCCGTGAAAAGCATATTTTATTGATAACCACGAAAAAAAAAAAAAAATTGGTGAAAATTTGACAGTTACAGTTCAAGCAATTTCAAGTAGATGGCGCCACGGCAAAAAAGCTACATTGGGAGCATTATAATTGTATATTTGTCTTTCTCTTTCACTAAGTGATTCACCGACAAACAGATTTTGTTCTGGACAAAATAGCTATTTATGTATCAAGGGGATTATGTAGATTACTTATAATGCCCGAAGGCGAAACTAGCCCGAGAGATATAATTATTTCGCCTGAAGGGCATTATAATCTAAAAATCCCTGTGGTGCATACAATGCTTTATTTTCTACTCAACACAAGTTCTTTTATCAATTTAGTATCAAACAAAATCAGTAAAACTTGTGTGACAGAATATTGTTTTGTATTTTAATATGTACCTCTACCTTGAAACGAAATAAATTAATATATCTATAAACATTTCATAAGGCAAGGCAACGGTGATCGTGTGGGTTAACGCACTCGACTACATGGGAAACATTGATGGTAGACCGGGGTCGAATCCTGGCCAGATCGAAAATTATTTTCGGTTGGACATTCAGTGGCTGTCTAGGGTAAACTGCAAATAAATAAAACAACAAAAACACCTCGAGGAATTATAAGCGGGCGTTATGGATCATAACGCCCGCTGGGCCTATAATGCCCTCAGATTGCTATAGGTATGTTAACGTATCCTAGGTATTATGGATCTATAATAGTTAAGTAGAAAATAAAATAAAATATTGAACCGTATGTGTAGAGAGGCGCAGTCGTCATTCTCAAAAACTAAATTTAAACATGGCGGCCATTAACGCGTCCTTAAACACTGTAAATTTCTCAAAGTCTTTCTCACTATAAAAAATATCCATGACTGTGAAATCTTGCAAGGGGAACTCAACAATTTCTTCAGCTGGTGTGAAGACAATCATTTGGCACTAAACGTTGATAAGTGCAAAGTGATGTCTACTACCTACTCGAGAAATGAAACCGATTTTGATAGGGTTTATGTTATAAGAGATCTTGGCGAATTTCTGAATGTCGGATTGAATTTTTCTGAACAAATTGAAAGAATATCCAATAAAGCCATGCGAATATTGGGATATGTAACGCGTAGTTTGAGAGATTTTAATTTGAACCTTGAGGAATACCTATTCAGCTATAGTTCGCCAAATTCTGGAGTATGCAAGTCCTGTTTGGTCTTCCTTTTATGGTAAACAAAAGTACCAACTGATTTTATTGCATTTGAGTGAGAAAAAAATAATATTTCCATTTCTGAGTCTAAGATCAATTCGCGGTTTATTCTGTTTGATTAAAAGACCCTACTCAATTTTGCTTGAAGTTTTTCAGAAGCTTTCAAAGGTGATTTTAATAGAAATTTCACATGATTTTTTTGCATCCAAGTGAGTAAAAATTCGTAATTCCATTTCCTAGCCTGATATCCATTCGCGATTTGTTTTGTTTGATGGAAAAACCTTTCCTAATAAATCCTGGAAGTTTTAAGTCCCTCTCATTGCTTGAAGTATTTTCCAGAAGCTTCCAAAGGTGATTTAATAGAAATTTTACATGATTTTATTTCATTTTAGTAAGAAAAAAATTCATATTTCCATTTCTGAGCCTAAGATAAATTCGCGGTTTATTCGGTTTGATAAAAAGACGCTGCTCAATTATTCCTGAAAGTTTGAAGGCCCTCTGATTGCTTGAAGTTTTTCAGAAGCAAAAAACCCTTCCGAATAAATCCTGAAAGTTTTATGTCTTTCTGATTGCTTGAAGTATTTTTCAGAAGTTTCGAAAGGTGATTTAATAGAAATTTCACATGATCCAGAACAAACCGCATCTCGTTATCTTTTCTCGTTTTCGAGATATTTACCTGCAAAATATGTGAATTTATCTAAGGACACCTGCATAAACCATGGCCATCAAGAAAGTTGTATACAACTTTCATAAACCTATCGTTGGAAACAAGGATTTTGGAGCTAGCAAAAGTGATCCCAAATTTTCATATTTTCTGTTATCTTCAATCAAGGATAGCATTAACTATAGCAGAAAGCAATTGTAAATAAAAGCCGATTTGAAACATTTGAAACAAAAATACGAACAAAAGAAATATGTACTTGGATTCTGAAAGTTTAAAAGCATGTTGGTTGGAGGAATATTATTATTTTATTGGCAACAGCAATTTGCCGTGAGACTTTTTTGGCACTAGAATGAGTGTGGAAATGGTTCCATCCTATCAAAGTTTTCTAAATAAAATTTACAGAATTTGCATAACTTTAGCTCTAAAAGCATCCTAGCCTGTGTAGATTGGTGTCGTGGTGGTTCTAGACCTAAACTTTATCCACTACTTGTGTGTTTGTAAACTAGAAAAAAATTGCTTACTCCATCTATAACTGCTCCTATCATCCCAGTCCACCGTCCATTAACCTTATTTCCATTCTTTCCATCATGTTGCACCGTAAATGTATAGTTGAACCCTTCCAGCAACGAAAGTTCATGAATTAGGTCAATACTGAAGCCTTCATATCTTTCATTTCCGACTAAATTTTCTGATGTCTCTTTAAGCATTCCATATGGCTCAGTCTGGGAACAATAAAAGCTAACACATTGCTTCAAAAAATTATTCTTGCTTACCAAAGATATAATAACCACAAACGTTTTATTTCTCATACTATCATGATCTGGAACCACTGGTGGTTGATGTGGACGTGTTACGTTCAACCCTTGAGTAGAATTATACGTAGCCACAGTTACTATTCCACCTTCTCGAATTTCGTACACTTGCAATCCAAAAACGCTTCTGTGACCTTCATTGTTGAATTCTATATTACCTGTTAAACCTTTGTAGTTGGACTAGAATAATTGATAATTATTAGAACACATTTATTTGACTGAGTAATGAACTTACTGTTTTCAATAAGTTTACTAGAGAATATCCAAACTCCCAGCTGTCAGGTTGCTCACAATCCAACGATACTGGTGGCTCTTTAAATTTACGCAAATTTTCTGAGAACATGTGGACTGCATCTAAGATGTATAAGCATTAGAAAACTGATAACACATTTTCAAAAGCAGCTATGGTCGGAGTAAAAGGCCACACATTATGGAGTCAAGACGGTTCAATAACTTGAATCTTTACTAAATAAAAAAAAAAAAACTCTTACCGAATATTAAAGCTGTTTCAGTTTCCAGCTTGAAAGCAGCTTCAATGGAGTCCAATGGGGTGTCAATATCAGAAAATAGTTGCATACTTATATTTTGCACGTACTGAGATTCTGGATTTATTAAACGTATCTACAATATTGAAAAATAATTACAAAAACTAAACATTAGATATCAACTCACTCCTGTGATGTTAGTTTGACTCCATTGAAACGGTGACAAATCTCTAGAATGGGCGTCTAAATTAGTTAGAAAGTAACTGTAGTCACTTGTCATTATTCCAACTTGCTGACATTGTATGAGAACATCAATGAGATTATTAATTTGGCAATCGATGACTATATATCTTTGCCTTGTCCTCCAGATTTTCTTCAATGTTTCTCTTCAAAAAACAATATTGGGTTTTAGAATAAATTTAAATAGAATAGTACCTATAATTTCCAGTTCCTTCTCTATCAAGTTGTTCCACGGTAACAACGATTCCCTTTTCCTTAGCTAAAAGAATGAGTTCAGATAAACGTAGCAAACTTTCATCATCCTCATATAAAACAGTAAACGCTTTCCATTTCCATTCCTGAATAATCTCCCAATAGGCCTTTGTTAATAGAGGAGCATATGGGTAAAAATTTAATGCACTTCCTGAAATATTGATGTTGTTTAAAACGTGTCTTATTATATTTGAACATTCCTACCAGGTCTTAAAGGCCGATAAATCCATCTGGTCAATATATGAGGCATTTCCTTGTCATCACAAACCGATTGGACTGCATTGATGTTGCTTAACGATTTCGGTCCGAAAACACCCAAAATACCGTCTTTTAAAATAGTGCAAATAGTTTTCATAGCTTGAAATGGTTCTTGATTGGCTACAGGGACGCTGATGTGTGCTAATTGCATGTCTTCACCTCTTTTGAGGTTGTTAATGTTAATTGCCAATTCGAAGGCTTTTTGGTTGAGTTCATTTTCGCCCTCTTCAAACAGGCCAGCTAAAATTATTCCATTGGGGCGTAAAAAATAAATTTCAATATTCGCTTACCTAAATTAAAACTAACAGCTTCAAAACCTAGAGATGAAAAAGTTCATATTATTCTACGTAACTTATTAAAAAGTTGCATAAATAGATACCATTGTTTTGAGCTTTCGTAGTGAAAACACAAGTCACACAAACGAATGCTAAAAATCCTAGCATAATAAAAATTAAAATTAAAAGAGACGACGTAATAAAAGTTTTTCTAAACATTGACACATCTCTTAAACTGAACGTGCGCCATACTGTGGCTTGTGTCCGCTTCCGAAATATTTGGAAACAGTCCTGGACAGAAATAGGAGTCCAAATATAACTTTGCTATATTGCGTGGCCGAGTTATTGGATAAAATGTAGAAAATTGGATCTACATGAGTATCTCAATTTTTTTTAACATCCTTCCGTCTTAATATTTTTTATGAAGGGTCAAGGATGGATGTGTCAGACAATAGGTTTTCCACGTTTGGACTTCTTCGGAACAAAAAAAAAAAAAAAAAACAGAAAAATATTTTCAAGTTACAGCAATAAAAAAAATTTTTCTGCGATTGACAAGAAATGTCAGCATTTTTGACCGGCTGACAGGTCGCAAAACTTAATATTCTGGTATTTCAATTATGTTTCAATAGTGGCTAAGGAATTAATGAATAACAATACTGGAAACACTTTTCCGGCCTAGGCCGGAAAAGTGATTCTCGTACTGCTGAATGATTGGAACAAAAAGATAAACATGTAACAGATATTTAACCGATCGTAGAAAAAATAGTATGTGTATTTCGGTAGAAAATCACATTCTCGGTCTTCGGTGTTTGCCAGCCTCGGCTACGCCTCGCCCGTCAACTTACACCGTCGGCCGAGAATGTGTCACTTTTCCACCTTAATACACAATATACTATTATTATTTTAAAAATAATTATTGTCTATACACGGTGTTTACGGTCTTGTGATTTTATTTTTAAGGGGTGAATAAACACCTTAAAAAAATGTGATTAACGCTAAAACACCCCAATGAAATTCAAAAAATAAGAGAGATACCTATGGTATACACCGATGAAATACTTGACCTCGCAGATCTTCGCTTCGAATAACATTAGACAACAAGGCCTGGGATTTGGATGTAATGCCGATTCATGGATACGTCGAGCGAGACTTTGTATCCAACAACAGGGCGATTACTTTGAGCATGTGTTGTAGTGTTTTTCTAATTGTTAAGTGATTACATAATTTTTGAAAATAAAAATGTTATAAATTTAAAAAAATCATATCTCCCTTAGTGCGCGTTCACATTGACACCGATCGAGCGGTGAGCGTTGCGCGATGCCGCTGTAGCGATGCCCAAAAATAATTTTAAGATTATATTTCAAATGAACATGTTACCACCGTGGAACGCGCCGCTCCAGTGTGAACATGTTCATTTGAAATATAATGTTAAAATTATTTTTGGGCATCACTACAGCGGCATCGCGCAACGCTCACCGCTCGAGCGGTGTCAATGTGAACGCGCACTTAGTGTTTGACTTTTATTGGGGTGTTTTAGCGTCAATCACATTTTTTGAAGGTGTTTCATTCACCCCTTAAAAATAAACCTCGGAGGAAAGTTTTCATGTTTGTCTCGAGATTAATAGTCAATCTCTCGACAGTAATGAAACACTTCCCTACTCGGTATGTAATATACTATTATTTGCAACCATATATGTAATCTTGACATTACTGACTGTTTAATAATTTGGAAGTGTCACTTTACCTGTGTCACTTCCCTCTTCGATTCCCCTCACCGATTTCCCTATTCGACTTCCCCCACCGATTTCCCTCACTGTAATTTATTTACCTTTGCTGGCGACAATGAGAACATGTCAGGTAAAAACATCAAAACAGTGAATTACACATTTTGGCATGTTTGTTTGATTTTTTTAATATTAAATAGCTATTTTCCTAACGAGTGCGGGAAATTTCTTCTCGCAAGAGTTAGGAACTATATCTTTTCTACGAGCATACTAAAGCTGATGTTACGAGAAGTTTAATTTAAATAAAATGCGATTGTGCAGAAGGTAGAATTAAAAATGTATTGAAAGGTATTAAAGGTAAAGGTATAGGTGTATCAACAATACAAACAATTCCATGTCATAATAGTCCAAGAGCCCAGAGCCGCCAGACACAACTTATTTTCTAAAGGACAGAATATGTGTGCTTTCGCACCTGATGTTGGTAAATTGGCCGTCTACCCAACTTAGCGGGTATCCATACGTTCATAGTACATATAAGTGCTACACAATCCCACATATTCTGTCCTTTAGAAAATAAGTTGTGTCTGGCGGCTCTGGGCTCTTGGACTATAATGATTATTTTAAACTCTTCCCGCACTGAGTGCGAGAAGAAAAGTCTTCCCGCACAGCAAATCGTGCGGGAAGAGCCATTTCCCGCACGCTCGTAGAAAAAAAATTAAATGACTAATCATAATTAATGGTGTGCTTGCAAATAAAATAGTATACAAACCTCGAACGAAAGTTTTCATTTCTGTCTCGACAGTAATGAAACACTTCCCTACTCGGTATGTAATATACTATTAAAATACAGGTTACAATTATATTGGACATTAACTTAACTAACTTAATAATGATTACCTAACTAAAGAGACGGGGGCTTTTATATTTTAAAACATGTTGATCTTGCCGTTTCTATGGGAGCGTTGCGACGATGGAGCAGTTCTTGGCGTGACATGTTCAGACCTCAGACTAGTTCAGACAGAATAACTTGCTGAAATACCGTCTAGACCTTGCGATAATTTGTGTGTCTGGAGGTCATTGTAGTCGTGAAATCCATATAACAGCTCCCCATTAAGTAAAAAGTTGGTGCTTGGCAGCAATTTTTGAAAACTGACTGGATTTTTGTGTAAACTAGTCATCTCTTGTTCTGAGGATAGATTTGGATGAACGGTGTTCCTTCGTTTCGGTATAAGTTTTCTAAGGTTGTTGCCTATTTGAAGACGTGAATGGGACTTCGGCGGTTGTGGGTCGTCTTCATCGATAAGGCTAGGTTTGGGAGGTGCCTTTCGCCGACACTTACAATAAATGTAAATGATTACAAGGGCTGCTATTAGTACGATGATGACGGAGGTGAACCATTGACTGTGTCTTGGTACTTCGATTAGTTTATCCAGTTCATCGGAAATTGGTTAAGTCTATGCTGTGCCACGTTTAGATCCATCGATGTTGATTTTAGATAGTTTAAGAGGTTTCAACTCTGGCAGATGAAGATTCACTGGCAGTTGTTTGCAGCAGTCATAGGGAATTTCCACTGGATGGCTTTTATAGATGACGTTTCTGTATTTTTCAGCTAGATGCCTATATCATGAATTCTGGAGTTTCCTACAAAGGCATTACATGTTGGTTGGAGCTTGAGCACTGTGTTGGTGTTGATTGTTTTTGTCACACTGTTTTTGCCATCATATCTGATAATGATTGGAAGGGACGATGATAATGTTAGGAGCCAGTAGTTTGTGTCTAGTTCTTGCACATTGTAGTCGCTAGCGAGTAAGATTGAGGTTTGGCAATTCTTGGGAAGTGTCCCTGTTGACTTTAAGTGTTGGGCTTCGCAAATGGCATCGCTGTCTATAGGGTATTGTAGAAGGTCAGAAAATATCCTTGTGTTATTATCAAGAGGTTTCCAGTGATCCAGGCTTTGGAGTAATATGTAGAATAAAGAATCATCATCTCTCGCGATATATTTTTGAGTTATTGGTAAAATATGATGAAAACCTGTTCGATTATGCAAAATCGGGATAGGGTAGATGTAATAAAGAGTGTATATGTCAGGTTCATCAGCGGTATTCTGAGAATAAACACAATTTTACCTCCTGATTTATAAGCTTCTAAATCAATTATATCCAGGTATCATGCTACATATGGAAGATATGTAGGTGAACGAAGGTTATTTTTGGATAAAGAGCGCGATATTTCCTGTAAGGAGGCGACCAAGTCTCTAGGAGTTATAATTGAGGCATGTATAAGATCTTTAAACGTGCAAACGTTATTGCTTCTAGAATGTCATTAAGGAAATTTTCCAGAAAAACGTAGCTTTCCATTAATGATTCACAGGGGTTTAGAATTCTGGTTTGGGCTTCGTAAAACCTCAAATTATTCGAAATGTCAGATATGAATTATCTGATTTCTGCTATATCGATGTTGAATGTTTCTTCATCGATTTGGAGTTCCTGAATAGTAGAAGTAAAATTTTCTATTACTATTGTATATATTACTGAGGCGGTAACAGAAATTTGCTTTTTAAGTAAACTTTCAAGTTCTCGTTCGTCTGGTGTCAATACATTAATTGAACTATTCACCATCGGTAGAGTCCATCGAGCTTGTAGAGTCTAAGTTTCCAGTAATTGATTTAAAGATACTTGCTATTCCGTTAATTAGTCGACGTTTGTTTCTATAGTTTGTGTCGCCAGTGATTTCATTATGTTTCTGGTCGACTGAATCAGCAACTTGAGTTAAAAGGCTGAAATGTGTTTGAACTTTAAAGGCTGTCATTCGAGGAGAAGGGTCATCAATTATTTTGGTCAGGCTTTTTATTGTTCTCGAAAATTTCTCTGAATGATTCTACATCTCTGTAAACTAAAAGGGTCCATTTCTCATTTGAGACTCTAAGACTAAAGACTACCTTCTTCGTGATAGAATATCCCAACTGTGTTGTTAATTGGAGTTAGAAGAAATTGAGAGGTGACGACTGAAATCAGCCCGACGAGTCTGGAAAAGAATAGGCTAGTCATAGAACGGCTTTAGTCTATCAAAGTTAAATTTCGAAAATTGATTTGTTTTGAGGTTTTTCCCTTTCGCTGAGTTTCTGTAAATTTTGATTATTTCGAAAGGTCCGTTTAAAAGATTTTGAGTTTTGTCTTTTATTTGAGTTTCTTTGACATACACCTTTTCACCTGCTTTATATCCTGGAAGATTTTGTAAGACCGTCTTGTCGAACCTTACTTTCGACTTTTCTTTCTGGATATCGGTTCTGGTTCGAGCCATCCTATAATAATATTCCATTTTGTTGTTGAGGTCTCGTATGTATTTGGAGATTAGCTGTTTTCGATTATGAAGAGTCTCAGGGGGTCTATTCGAAGTACGGCCAAAGATTAAGTGGAAAGGTGTGAATTAGTGTGTCTTATTTTCGATATTATAACAGATAAGTGTGTACGGGAGAATGTTGAATGGGTGTTCACCTGGATGTTCCGCTTTATGAACGCGGATC